TGATAGGAGATTTTGATATCAAAAAATCACTACATTTTAAAATCAAGCCCCACCAAATTAAAACACTATAATATATTCATGTAGTTCTACCTTTGCTTGTTCCTGATATGACGACAGCATCAAACAGTATCCTCTGTCTCGTTTCATTGTTCCACCTCAGAACTGATACCAGTGGAGTCTCAAGATACAGTCCTCTCTGTGACTCACTGGCTGGAGATAGAGGATTGGAGACTGGTTCCCATACTAGTGGGTGATCCTGGAACCAAATTATGAGAATGAAATTAGCAAAAATACATGTATGCATGTACATCTACTCATACACAAGTACATGTAGGACACTTTTAGCATTTTTGATGTTTTGAAGGCTTGACTATAGTACAGGGACTTTTGTCCGATTTTGGAGCAACTTTAAAAATTCATAAAAAATCCAATTTTTATCAGAATCAGCTCAAACTTTCTACGCAACATAAGAACATGTATATGCATCAGAAAATGTAATAAATTCCCTCTCCCTCTCCCTTACTCCTCCAAATGTCTCCGGGTACATGTCCAGTACATTCCCAGTGCTGTTCACTGGTGATAGAGTGGTCACTGGTGGCTGGTACGAGTGGTCACTGGAGCTGTTATAAATCATCTTTGCAGTCTCATAGACGTAGGTAGGATAGTACGTCTCTAACATTTTTAAAAACTCAAGAGCATCTTGTTCTATGGAGGTCAACCAGCCGTTCTCAGTCATTAGCTCCGCCTACAAAACATTATTAAAGTTACAGAAAATGTATAATTAATTACCAGAGTATCTCGCAATTGCTTTTGAAAAGTATTTTGGAATAAATATCTAATGGAGTTTTGTACGTTAGCACCCTAGAGAGAGAGAGAGAGAGAGAGAGAGAGAGAGAGAGAGAGAGAGAGAGAGAGAGAGAGAGAGAGAGAGAGAGAGAGAGAGAGAGAGAGAGGGAGGGAGAGGGTATAAAATAAAGATGTACGTTACTGTCGTACCATTTGTCTGATGAAGGTGATTGCTTGTTTTATATTCTTCTCACAGAATGTCTTCATTATCAAACTGATACCAACACTACTCAAACTACTAATCGTTACTTCATCAGTGTGGGTGTGGCTCTAAGTAGGTGGAGTCAATAATAAACAATACAATACAATAAGGTGTTTAATGTACTGCTTCATCTTGTGGGTGTGGTGACTCCTCCCCTTTAAACGACCTATGAATGAGATAGGATTGACCTAGTGGTACATTACCAGTTACTAATGATCGCTGAATTACAGTCTAAAAATAGAAGTAGCAAATATATTAATTTTTTAGTAATTTAATTTTACTTCAGTGGAGGCGTGGTCCCATGATTCCTTTCTCACCATTATGTGTAAGAGATGGTCAAACTCCGCCCCTTCCTCCTCCCCCTTCCTCTTAGGGTCACTGATCAGTGTATTACCTTTAGGCAGGTATTCTCTAAGACTGTGAATGTGGGACGTTATTTCACTGGACGATATGAACCCAGTCCCAGGGTTTCTAAAAGAGGTTTCTAAGCATGATGAGTCCTCACTGGCCTGGCTCTCACTCCGCCTGAGGGACGTCACTTCTGGTTCATTGGTTCCTGAGGGTTTGGTTCCCATTCTGCTGGTATTGGAATGAGTTTTAATGAATCTTAAAAGGAAGTTGAGTGTCATTCGTAGAAGTTGACCAGCAAATTGTTGATTATGTTCACTGATGTGATTGCGTCTAAAGATAAATAAATAAATAAATAAATAATAATAAATTATCAACTTAGTATTAATGTATTTATTGTATTGGAAGTTTGGCTCTACCAATTGTACAGTTTTTCCTTAATTTTAGTTAACTTTGACCATTAACTGAATTATTTTCGAGGAGCTAAATTAACTTTTGCTACTTTTGCGGTTAGCATGAAACTGTGAAATTAAAGATCCACTAAAATTTCAATTGCCATTAAAGGCATGGCACTAACATTGCGAATCCGCAAAAATTATTTCCGTGAAAAATTGATTTTTATCAATCCGCAAAATTTTAGCTCCGCAAAATTAAAGCACTATACGGTTATGACCATTAACTAAATTAACTAAACACAATTGATGTACATGTACATGAATAAATTACTAATAAATTACTTTATTATTGATGAGAGAAGGTTAACAGCTGCATCCAGTTGATCAGGAGGAATGGGAGGAGGAGAAGGTAAGGACTCACTGCTGCTCTTCCTCTTGTCACTTCCATAACTATCATCTATTAATAGTAACAAACATTACTAACACACATTAATATTAATAGTAACACAGAGACACAATGTAATTGTAGCATTAATTCAAAATAGTAATTAAATAAGATGATTTCATTGCTAATTCTTGGTAAAAGCATAACAACTGAACTGCTTTAACATAAAATTTTCAAATTCAAAGTTTTCAAATTTTTTTTCAGTCAAAAACTACATCAAATTCATCAAGAATTTTGCTTGATAAAATTTTAACCTACAAAATTTTTGCTCCACGTGGTTAGTATACAAATTTATAATAAATATGATAAAAATTTTATCGACCAAAATTAATTTTAACAAGAGATTAAGATTGTGAAAAAATTTTTGACAGACAAAAATTAGGAGCTATACAGTACTGTATTCTGTATATGTATGTTATGTACGCATTCATGTATGTATGTTAAATTATTTTTCATTTTCTCTCATAATGATATTCATAATGTGTGTATAGTGTACTATGAATTCCTGTTCATGTGTGTGGGTGGGTATCAATGAATCTAATTAACTGATCACAAGATGTCGTTAGAGGACAAGTGTTGGACTGCGTTTGAGAGAGGATATCATAAAGAAGCTGTTCACTTACTACCATTAGTGAAGGAACCAAATAAAATTAAAAGAAGATATCTCTGTGATAATGTTAGTTTACTTCATTTGTCTTCATGGAATGGCTGGTTAGATGTTACAAAAGATCTCATCACTAAATATCACTGTGACCCACACGAAAGAGATTATGATGGTGAGACTTGTCTTTATTGGGCTGCACGAGGTAATCATGTTGATGTGATGAGATATCTCATTGATGAGTGTCACTGTGATCCA